CATGAGTCACATAATTATTATTAATTATAGTTACTCCTATTATCCCCCCTCAAGCTGATCCACGGGTACGAGGGGAAGCTTGATAGCGAGGTAATGAAATGCAGCCGGTGGAAGAGGTTTGGTAAGTATGTCTGCATGTTGTTCGGAAGACGGAACATGATGTGTGCTCATAGTACCAGCCATGACTTGTTCACGAACAAAGTGGCAATCAGACCCAACATGCTTCATACGATCGTGAAGGACTGGATTTTTTGTAACGCAAATGGTGGACTCGTTGTCACAGTAAATCTTTGGCCGAAAAGGAGGAAGGACAAGAGCATCCATAATGTGATGAAGCCACATAGCTTCGGCAACTCCAACCGCCATAGCTTGGTATTCAGCTTCGGTGGAAGAACGAGATACCCGTGTTTACTTTTTGGTGCACCAAGAGATTAAATTTGGTTCAAGAACCAGTAGGTAACCGGTGGTGGAGAGACGATCATCCTTGTCGTTCGCCTAGTCGGAGTCGGAGTAGACGGAGAGCTCCAAATTCCCTTTTTGGAAAAGAAGTCCACGACGTGAGCTACCCTTTAGATAATGAAGAATCCTTTTTAATTCTTGAAAGCTTTGTTCAGTTGGAGCATGCAGGAATTGAGGGACACGATTGACAACATATTAAATGTCTGTACGAGTAACAACTAGATAGTGGAGGCCACCCACGATGCTTCGACAGAGGGTTGGATTGTCGAATAGACGGCTGTCTGAGGTGGATGGTGGACGGACAGCCATGGGAGTGGGTGCATTTTCCCTGCCCGAGTGAAAAGCTCCTCAGTGTATTTTGACTGATGAAGTAGGAGACTGGAGGAGGTACGGGGTACTTCAATGCAAAGGAAGTAATGTAGAAGGCCAAGATCTTTCAGCTGAAAATTTTGATGCATGGCCTTCGTGATGATGGAGATAAGAGCAGATGAGCTGCCGGTAATCACAATATCATCAACATAGAGAAGAATTATGAATTAGCCACGAGGATGTTGGATAGTAAATAGACTTGTGTCATGAGTGCACGTGCGGAAACCCATATCCTGCAGAAAGGAAGAGAAACGATTATACCAAGCATGGGGGGCCTGCTTAAGACCATAGAGGGACTTTCTGAGCTTGCAGACAAGATGTGGGTGGCGGGAATCAACGAAGCCGGGTGGTTGATCCATATAAATGTCTTCGTCGAGAGTGCCATGGAGAAAAACATTGCTCACATCTAGCTGGTGTAGGGGCCAGTCATTATGAAGAGCGAGAGACAAGACTAGATGGATAGTCTGCTACTTGACGACTAGGCTGAAAGTCTCCTTATATTCAATGCCATACTCTTGATGATAACCCTTCGCAACTAGGCGAGCTTTGTAACGAGAGATGGATCCATCGGCATTACGTTTGATGCGGTACACCCACTTGCAACCAATTGGTTTTCGATGTCTGGGTGCTGGAACCAATTCCCAAGTATGCTGATTAATAAGAGACCTGTATTCATCGTCCATAGCCTGACAACAAAGGGGGTTGGTAGATGCTTGTTTGTAGGTAATATGTTCAGAGGGAGAGGGAGCAGGTAAAGTGGTGGTGTAGGCTTTGGGTTTGAAAGTGCCGGATTTGGAACGAGTTTGCATGTGATGTAAAGGTGGTTGGGGTGGGGGTGGAGGGGGTGTTGTTTCAGCTGGTGGAGGTTGTTGGTGAGGAGGGTTGAAAGTTGGTGGGATAGGTGTATTGTGGGTGCTGGGTGATCCAGATGGGATGAGAGTGTCGAGATTGGGTGTTGTTTGCATAGATGGATGGGTTAATGGGTGCCGGTACAAGGCCGTGTGAGCTCGGAGGAAAGATTGGAATAATACTGAGTGGGTTGGACGTGGCAGTGATGGAACTCTACCAAGGATAGGAAAAGTTATCCTCGATAAAACGAACATGACGAGAGACATATGTTTTTTGAGAGATGGGTTCAAAACATTTATATCCTTTTATGGTGGGATGGTATCCTAGAAAGACACATGGTGTAGACTGGGTTGAAGTTTGTGTTGAGTGTGAGGACGTAGCAAAGGATAGGCAAGACAACCAAAGGGGCGAAGGTGAGTGTAATCCGGACAGTGTGTGTAGAGACATTCATAAAGAGATGTGTTAGAGAGGGAGGGTGTGGGCATGCGGTTGATGAGATAGTTGGCAGTGGCCAACGCCTCGACCCAGAAGGATGCAGGGAGATGAGACTCATGAAGGAGGGTGACGACAGTTTTAATGAGGTGATGGTGTTTGCGTTCGGCAACACCATTATGTTCAGTAGTATACGGGCAAGATGTGTGATGAATAATACCAAGAGATTGGAGAAAAGAGCCAAAGTCATTGTTTAAAAATTCTTTTCCATTGTCACCACGAAAGATTTTGATGTTGGAATTGAATTGGATTTTGACTATGCGTTCAAAATTTACAAAAACTGAATATGCTTCATATTTGCGTTTTAAGGGATAAAGCCATGTAAATGTACTATAATCATCAACAAAACAGATATAGTAACGAAAACCATTAAAAGAGAAGATGGAGGTTGGACCCCAAACATCAGAATGTATTAATTCAAATGGCATTCTGGCCTTAGTATTAGATAAGATAAACGGTAAACGACTTGATTTGGCTACATAACATGACTCACAATGATCCTTAGTGGAAAACGAAAAAGCTAAGACAGAAATAATGGACTTAGTAACTTCGGCACATGGATGACCAAGTTGGCGGTTCCAGTAGAGGAACGAATGGCTTGATTAGCAACTGATGAAGATGAGATTGACGCAGATATCTTGGAAGGAAGAGTGTATAGACCTTGCTAACAGCGGCCCTTGTACCGGATCTGTTTGGTTAAATTGTCCACTATCTGAAAATTATGGGCATTGAAAAGAAGAGTGCAGTTATTTTCTTTGGTAAATGGATAGACAGACAGAAGATTTGATGTTAGGGATGGGACGTGATGTAGCGTGGACAATGAGAAAGTACCTGTGGGGGTGTAAACATAGCCAGAACCTATATTGGAGATGGGTAAAGACTGGCCATTACCTACAGTGATTGTGTCGGTGCGAAATAGGAAATCAGATTATGGAGTTGAGAGTAATCAGGTGTAACGTGAGAATTTGCACCAGTATCCAGATACAAATCACTTAAAAAGTTTCTTGTAGATACATGCATCGCACGAGTGCCGCCGTTTGGAGCAGAAGCAGATTGCTCGTCGTAGCGATACCAACATATGCGAGCTGCGTGGCCGCGCTTTTCACAGATTTGACATACGAGCAGGTCGCGACTTGAAGAAAGATTGCCGCCGCAACCGCATCTGTTGTCCTGGTCAGGTCTACTGCGGCCAGAACTGCTGCTATGGACGATGGACTGTTGTCGTCCTCTGCATCCGCCGCGGTGTGCACCGCGTCTGCCTGGACGTCCGCCACCACGCTGTCCAGCCGCGTAAAAGGCAATATGGGTTGGCTGAGCTGTCGAGTCAGCGAGGGCCAATTTGGATTCCATGGCAAGATTTAATTCTTCTGCATTCAACCAGCCCGAAATTTGATTTAGTGTGAGTGGACCATCGTGATAGTGAATGTGCTCTTTTAGAGAGGAAAATTCGGCAGGCATGCCCCGAACAACAGAATTTATGACATCTCGTTCGGGAACAACTTCATTGAGGGCATCAAGATAAGAGATAATCGAGGCTGCTTTGTCCAGATATTGGACCATGGTGCGAGTGCCCTTGCGAAGGGTGTGAAGACGATCATGCAACTGAAAAACATGGGCTGTAGATAAGGAATTAAAGCGGGTAGCAAGAGCATTACAAAGAGCCCCAGAAGTAGTAAAACCACGAGCATACTTCTGAATTTGCGGGCTAATCACAACGAGAAGGCAGTCATGAATTTGAGCATCGATACGAGCCCACGACATATGGGCGGGATTTGGTTCCGTCGAGTTTGTACCATCTTTGTCCGTGACGGTGACATTGATTGGCGGCACCATTCCGGTACTATCGACCCAACTAAGAAGAAGATTTGCGGAGAGCGCCGTCTTGACGCTATTCGACCAAGCTGGATAATTGTGATCGGTTAATTTTTCTGGGATGAGATTGTGAAGATTGCTAAGAAACATTTTCACACCGGAGGGAAGAGTGGCAAGAGGATCGGCTGCCATTGTTGATGAAGAGAAGCAGACGAAAAGAAGGAGAAATTTTTTTTTGATCGACCGAGGATGAAGAAGAAGACGGTTTAGGTTTTTTTTTATAGGTTTTGGAAGAGTTTAACCTTTGCTCAGATACCATGATATAATAATGAGTCTTATTGATTAAGAGGTGTACATCCGATATATAAAGAGAAAACATGAATAAGTAATTACACATGAGTCACATAATTATTATTAATTATAGTTACTCCTATAAGAAAGCATACCACGTGTGCTTGTGAGACCCTGAAAAGTTACATTAACTTTTCATTGAATAGCCTTTTACCTTAGATTATCTCTTCATTTTCAATCGGTATTTCTATTATAGCATGCCACTAATAGTTATGGGTGATTTGGTGATGTGTTGTATGTCTAAGAAAGCAGTTAATTTAGAACATATATATTCAAATAGAAAGATAAGACAATCAAAATCAATGATTTAACTTGTATACATGGGCTGGCTATTCCACTAGCCATATAGGTGACAAGTGTAGTTGTGAATATAAATTTAAACATAACTGACTTTTAGCAGGGATACACGCAAAACATTTGGGTTGAGCGACAAAAGTTTTTTTTTAAAAGGATCTGTTCAAGTGTAAGAAGAACATCAAAATGTGAGGACTATTACATGGATGCATATATAATCACGCATGGGACCATCTGTGGACAAATAAAATAGAGGCAACTAAATCAAACTTAGTTCCTATTCCTAACATCCACAAGAGAAAAAAGAAATTCATGTTGAAGCCGTGGCCGTTCTGAATTATATATTGTCGATATAAATCAACATGCATGACCGATCACCTTCCTCCAGGAAATGGTAAAGTTACATGGCTCGTTATACTATCAACATGGATACTATGTTCACTATATTCGCATCCAAATCTCAATGTTTGTGCGCCAGGCAGTAAGGACTCTTTTTCCTCTGAATGTCGATCAGTTTGAGCCCACAAGTGCTTCAATCTCAATCCAGCTTCCAATTCTGCTGCAACTTCCTTCATTGTAGGTCTCTCGTCCCCTTTAACATTTAAGCACTTCTGTGCAAGCATAACAACATTTTTTAATTTTCCTTCATTTGTCTCATCATAAACTATATTATCGTCTAGAATATCGAGCAAAAGACCCTTCTCCACTGAAGAAATGAAATATTGAGCTAGACTTCTTTCTTCTGGTGGTCTTTCGAAACACAGAGCCTTTCTACCGGTTAGGAGCTCTACAAGCACTACTCCGAAACTATATACATCACTTTTTTCATTGAGTTCATTTGTTTGCAGGTATTCAGGATCTAGATATCCTAGAGTTCCTTGAACCAATGTTGATAGCTCTGTTTGATCAGCAGGAACCAACCTTGATGCTCCGAAATCCGAAACTTTGGCTGTGTAGCTTTTGTCTAAAAGAATGTTGACTGATTTAATATCTCTATGGATGATAGGAGGGTAAGCTGCTGAGTGCAGGTAGGAAAGTACTCCTGCAGCTTCTGCAGCAACTCTCAGACGAATATCCAAAGAAAGATTCGACGCCTTCAATTTATGATGTAAGTGTTCAGAAAGTGTTCCATTGTTGATAAATTCATATACCAATAATGGAACTTCCGTCTCGAGGCAGCAACCTAATAGCTTAACCACATTTCTATGGTTGATTTGGGAAAGGACAAGTACTTCATTTATGAATTGTTCGATCTGATTGCGATCAATTACTTTAGATTTTTTTACGGCAATGATGCAATTATCTTTTAGATATCCTTTGTAAACAATTCCAAAACCTCCTTGACCAACAACTCTGTCTTTGTCAAAACCATTCGTTGCTTTTTCTAGCTCTTCCGCTGTGAAAATCTTTATTGCATTATTATGACTTGATCCCTCTTTCCTTGTAAGTCGCTTTTGTAGAACTAATCCACCATTTTCCTGAAAAAACTTCTTCTTCATCTTTGACATCTTTCTCCGTTGGAACGCAGTATATGACCAGCCAAAAACAATAATAATCGCAAAAGCAACCCCTGCAGTAACACCTGTATAAAAATATATTAACTTTATTAGACATTTTAGGTCGATGTATGTAGTTTGTGATGAGAAAATTGGTACCTATTTGAAAGAAGTCAAGAAAGGTACCTATAACAAAAAAAATGTTGTGTGTTATTCTCTGAGGATTGTCACGATTGCATACAGTACCATTACCACTAAAATCTGGAGGGCATATACATGTATAATTCCCTTCTGTATTCTGGCAAATGGCATCGTTGGCACATCTATAATCTGGTTTCCGATCTATACATTCGTCTATGTCTGCAGACTCATAGAGTACAAGCGTAATATTAAAAAAAAGTGATGTATAGAAAGTGTTTAAAGGGATATTTTTATCATCCACTTATTTTATCCCCGGATAAGTTATCCCGTGATTACTATACCACCCAAGGGGAGGGATAACTTATCTCGGTACTGATTATTAATCCTGGATAAGTTATCCTGGACACCCTCTAAGTTCAAAAAGTAAAATATGCATACCTTGACAGCCATCTTTGAGATATGGGTTCCCATCATATCCTTGCATGCAGGAACATCTATATCCAATTGAACTATCATAACAATCACTTTTTTCACTCTTACATTCATATGCAGTCGAGTTTCTCTTAGCTATTTCACATGTTCCTTTACCAATTACCCAATCTAGCACAAGTGGAAGTTTATCCATGTTCTTCAAATTTTCGAGGTTATTCTTTGAAAAATTTGCATAAGGGTTAGTATCTTCGACCACAAAAGCATAGCTGCACCTAGGGTTATCATTCACATAAGTATGCTTATAGTAACTGCTTAGTGTTATAGTAACATTCCATGCTCCCTTAGGGATGGATGTCTTGCAACAACCAACTCCGGAACATGTGTTATTATCAGCATCATCAAGACTATTGCACATGGACGTACATCCTGTTATGTAGGAGTAATGCTTAGTCGTCATATTTTCAAACTTTGAATAATAACCCTGAACTATAGCATATGTATCACAGCCAATCGCGATGAACATATTCGCGGTGTTGCTAACTGCAAACAATTGTGTTAATGATATCCATGGAGTGTTATTCTCCGTGTTTACCCCGGATTTATAACAATCTTTGGATATGAATTGAAAGACTGTAAGTTGCCCAGTGAGAGATATGTTTGTGATTTGAATAGAGGAGTCATAGAAAAAAGGACGGGGAGGTTGAAAAGTGTAATCACAAGTAACAAGGAATTGATTGTATAAAACGCAATCTTGTGTAATCCCAAATGGGAAAGGGATGCTGACATTTCCACAACTTTTTTTGCAGTTGGGTTTTGCTATGAGATTGTTGTGTGTTGGTAACATAGCATAATCACCAAAACATAGAGAAAAGCAAATTAATGTTATCAGAGCAAAAATCATCACATCATTAGGAGACATGTTATGTGATTTTTTGATACTAAATATGATACTACTTTTAGAGGAGCCAGAGCAACTTTTAATGTGGACTGTCAAGGAGACTTGACGACTTTATCCAGTTAATTATATATCGAAAATCTTTAGTACTTTATTTATTTTTTCAGAAAATAATGTCAATGTTAGAATGAGCAAGTACTGTGTCATTCTCATGCTTGTATTTGATGGAATATTATACATGGCATAATCAAGAAAAGTTCAGAGAGGATTAGGAGAGAAAATGACTGAAAATTTAATGGATTAGACCTCATTTTCTTTGAAATTATTGACGAGGGTCAGATATTTTAAATTTATGAAGTTTTGACTATTTTTTTTGAAAATGTGATAGCATAAGACGCTCAATATCCTCACTCCATCCTACTGATCCATAGCTGCATCAGCAGAGAAGTAGTCAAGCACGAAAAATAGCAGATGAAAGTTTCACAAATTATTTCCGAGACGGTTGACATCACCCAACTGCTAGGCCAATTTTTTATTCAAAATTACAAATTTAAACTAATCTTCTAATCAAGAAAAGGTGAGAGAGTATTATTTTTACTTAATCAACATAAAGTAATAAGAAGTCACCAATTCCTTGTTCTCAACATGTCACAAATTATTTGTTCTTAATAATGTGTGATAAAAAAATATCTATATTTTCTGTCATATGTTTCACAAATTCTTAGTTCTTCAATCATGCCTGTTGGTTTAATTAAATATGTTTTGAGCTTATGTCAAGTTGTTTGTGATCTAGTGGCAAAAAAATAAGGTATTTTAAATCATTTTATGTCTAATAAAAAGACTTTCTAAATATAACTACCTTGAGAGTTTTGATCCAAAACCTGAACGTACGGTTCTCAAGCGAAGGAGGGAGTTGAGATTTATATATATATATATATATATATATATATATTTATGCAAAACATATGAGTTGAGCAACAAAAACATTTAAAAGTGAACTGTTCAAGTGTAAGAAGAACATCAAAATATGTCGACTATTACTCGGATGCATAAATAAGTACACTTGGCATTAATTTGTTACTCAAATTTATTATGTCTAGACAAATAAAAGAGATGCAAATAATCAAACTTACTTCATATTTCTAACATGCCAAAGAGAAAAAAGAAATTCATGTTGAAGCCGTGCCCGTATTGGGCTAGTGCTTCTGAGAAAATTAACATGCATGATAGATCACCTTCCTCCAGGAAATGGTAAAGTTACATGGCTCGTAACACTATCAATATGAATAGTGTGTTCACTATATTCATATCCAAATCCAGGCAGTAAGGATTTAGTCTCCTCTGACTGTTGATCAGTTTGAGCCCACGAGTGCTTTAATTTCAATCCAGCTTCCAATTCTGCTGCAACTTCCTTCATTGTAGGTCGATCATCCCCTTTAAGTATTAAGCACCTTTGGGCAAGCACAACTACATTTTTCAATTGCCCTGCATTTACCTCATGAGAGACTATGTTGTGGTCTAGAATATCGAACAAATGACCCTTTTCCACTGAAGATATGAAATATTGAGCCTAGACATCTCTCTTCTTCTGGTCTTTCAAAACATAGAGCCTTTCTACCGGTTAGGAGCTCTACAAGAACTACTCAAAAACTGTATACATCACTTTTTTCATTGAGTTGATTTGTTTGCAAGTATTCAGGATCTAAATATTCTAAAGTTCCTTGCACTAATGTAGATAGCTCTATTTGATCAGCAGGAACCAACCTGGATGCTACGAAATCAGACACTTTTGCTGTGTAGTTTTTGTCTAAAAGAATGTTGACTGATATAATATCTCTATGGATGATAGGAGGGTAAGCTGCTGAGTGAAAGTAGGAAAGTACTCCTGCAGTTTCTACAGCAACTTTCAGACGAATATCCAAAGAAAGAGTTGGCGCCTTTAATTTATCATGTAAGTGTTCAGAAAGTGATCCATTGCTGATAAATTCATACACCAATAGTGGAACTTCCGTCTCTAGGCAACAACCTAAGAGCTTAACCACATTTATATGGTTGTTTTGGGAAAGGACAAGTACTTCATTTATAAATTGTTCAATTTGATTGGGATCAATTACCTTAGATTTTTTTATGGCAACGATGCAATTATCTTTTAGATATCCTTTGTACACAGTTCCAAAACCTCCTTGACGAACAACTCTATTTTTGTCAAAGCCATTAATTGCCTTTTCTAGCTCTTCCACTGTGAAAATCTTTACTGTATTAGTATTACTTGATCCCTCTTCCACTTTGAGTTGTTGCAGTAGAACTAATCCACCATTTTCTTGAAAAAACCTCTTTTTCAGCATTGACATTTTTCTCCTTTGGAATGCAGTATATGACCAGCCAAATACTACAATAACTATTAAAGCAACCCCTGATGTAATGCCTGTAATAATTGTATGTTATTAACATATATACATGAAAATCTGTGGTTTTCTTTTTCGGTTCAATTGTGAATGAAATAATCAAACTAGTAGTAATATTTGACGGGCTTATCAAAGAAGTACTGCAGAATTGCAGAGAAGTTAAGAAAAGTACCTATAATTAGATAAATATTCTGAATTTTTCTCTGAGGATTGTGGCGAATGCATTCGGTATAACCATCACCACTGAAATCTGGACGGCATATGCATGTATAACTCCCATCTTTATTGTTGCAAATGGCATTTTTGACACACCTATCATAATCTGGTTGCGGATCTAGACATTCATTGATATCTGTAAACGTACGATAATGTAATCATTCATTTGCAAAATGATAGATTTGAGATAAAATCATAGTAGGAGACTCAGAAACATATACATACCTTGACAACCATCTATCAGGTATGGATTCCCGTCATATCCTTGCATGCAGGAACATCGATAACCATTTAAAACATCATGACAATAGTTGTTGTTACTCTTACATGCATATGCAGTCAGGTTTCTTGTTATTTGTAGTTTTGATGATTTGAATAACTTGGGGACCTTGTAAAGGTACCAGTTTCTTAATTGACTATTGCAGGGTTCTTGCTTGAGTATTGTAGATGAAACAAACCCAAGGACCTAGTAGAGGTACCCGTCTCTCATGATGACGAGCCAGTTGATTGCCAGCTGGAGACGGTACGGAAAGTAGGTGCACACTTCCCGATGGCGTCAGAAAGTGTGACTTTTCTAGCCAATGGCAAAGACGTTTAGGAAAGTGACTTGCCCATATAAAAGACACTTTCCTAAACATTTTGTTCAGTTTTTGCAACTTGATATAAACTTTTCAAGAACTCTTGCAAAGGTTACTACAAAGCAAAGACAGAATTAGTCCAAGAACAAAAGCAATATTTGGAGCTTTTCGTCTAGTTGTTTAGGAATACATTCTCTTGTTCTTAAACTGTAAACCATTCCTTAATCTATAAAGGAATTGGTGTGTTGTGTTAGAAGTCTAGGTTGTCCAGGTGGGATAGCTTAGTGGGTAGATTGTTTTCTGCTTAGGATTGTTAAGCAATAGAGGACTATTGCTTAACTGTGAGATTGATAACTCTTTCTTACGTTTGGTGTAATCGTGTTTTACTTTTGCTTTTGAAGATTAGTGAAAATGATTGAAAATCTTGTGAGACAGGTCGTGGTTTTACTCCCTTAAGCAAGGAGGTTTCCACGTAAAATCATCGTGTTGATTTTACTGCATTTAACTTTCTTTTTATTCATTAGTGTAGTAAGGGACCTAGTCCATTACAGGTTAAGTGAAGGCATATATTCTATCAAGTGGTATCAGAGCAGACACTATCTTTTTGGTTAACACCAAGGAAGTGATATTTGCTCTAGAATGATAGTCCACTTAACCTCGAAGAAGGACAGTCGTCACATAGACCTCCTCGCTTCAATGGACATTTCTACAGTTGGTGGAAAGTTAGAATGCACGATTACCTCATGGCTGAAGACAGCGAGCTATGGGATATTGTACTAGATGGACCATTTGTTCCGATGATGGAAGAAAAGGATGGAGATAAGACTATTACTGTTCCAAATCCTAGACAGAAATATGACGAAGCTGACAGGAAAAAGATTGAAAAAGGTTTCAAATCTAAAACTCTTCTTGTCTGTGGGATAGGACCTGATGAGTACAACAGAGTGTCAGCCTGTGAGTCTGGTAAGGAAATTTGGGACTGCCTGAAGACTACACATGAAGGAACTAAACAAGTCAAAGAATCTAAGATTGACATGCTTACCTCACGGTATGAGAACTTCAAAATGAAGGAAGGTGAAACAATACATGACATGTTCACCAAGTTGTCTTCCATTACAAATGAACTGTGAAGTCTTGGTGAACCTATAAGCATGACCAAACAAGTTAGAAAAGTACTTCGAATTCTTCCAAAGTCTTGGGAGAGCAAAGTTGATGCCATTACAGAAGCCAAGGACTTGAAGGTGCTAACTATGGATGCTTTGATTAGAAATCTAAAAACACATGAGATGAATCGAAACTATGATTTGTCAAAAAAGGAAGCCAAGAACGACAAGTCATTGATGCTGAAGTATAAATCAGATGAAGATTCAACTGATGATGATGATATGACATATCTCATCAGCAGATTTCAAAAAATTATGAGGAAAAACAAAGTTTATAAAAGAGGAACAAATGGTACTCGAAATGCTGCTCATGGTGATACTTGCTACAAGTGTGGAAAAGCTGGGCACTTCATCAGAGAGTGTCCTTTGCTCAAAAATGAAAGCAAGGATTACCAAAAACCAAGAAGTGACAAAGAGAATAGAAGGGACCTGGTACTTGGCAAGAGAGATAGAAAAGTTGCTGCAGACTTCGTTGTCAAAAAGGCTCTTGCTGCATGGGGTGACTCCTCAAGTGATTCAGAAGACCCTGATGAGCCAAAAGATGTGTCCATGGTTGCTGTACATGAGGAGGAAACTGTCTTCAATGAAATGTTTGCTCTCATAGCCCATACTTAAGATGAAGAAGAGGACAATCAGGTAACTCTTCTAGATATGAAAAATGACTTGGATAAATATTCTCTTAAAAAATTGAGAACTTTGGCAAAAGTCATGATTGATTCTGTGATAGAGTTAACATCTGAAAGAGACACCATGAATGCTGAACTTGACAGTTTAACTGAAAACAAAGTTAAACTTGAAGAGAAAATGTCAATAATGGTGTCTCTAGAGTCAAGTAACTCTGAACTTAAGAACCAGTTGAACCAGATTACTGAAGAAGCTGAAAAATTGAATGGAATGTCAAATGGTTTGCAAGCTGAAATTCAAGAGAAACTTAAAAACTCTGAGAAAAAACTTGGTGTGTCGCTTGAAAAGAGTAACAAATTAGAACAGGATATTGTTAAACTTAAGAAAGAACTTGAAAAATCCCTTAAGTGGACAAAATCCTCAAAGTTACTGTCAAATGCAACAAATTAGAGTAATTTCAATAAGAAAGGACTAGGAAATATGAACATCACTCCTCCTTATAATCCGCACAGTAAGTATGTGTTTGTGTCTGACAATTTGTTATGTCTTCACTGTGGTAAGAATGGACATTTGAAGGGTGAATGCTCTAGCTGGAGAAACTCCTGTGAAAGGCTCTCTAATTATGCTGAAACGCAAAATGTACCAAAAGAGAGACCTGGTCCTTCAAAAATTGTATCAACTCACAGACTTTCAAAGAAAAAGTCTGTCCCTGCTCCTATGTCCTTTGTTAGAAAGCTTCAAAATCTACCATATTGGACTAAATATAATATAATCACTCCTTTGTCTTCCTACTGGGAACTCAAGCTGAAATGGGTTCCCAAGCTAAACAAGTGACTCTTGGTGCAGGTGAGTGAAAGGAGCAGCAGTCAATGTTGGTATATGGATAGTGGATGTTCTAAGCATATGACTAGTGATGTAAAAAACTTCCTCTCACTCAAGACACTCCAAGGAGGAGGTGTCTCTTTTGGTGATGGCAAGAAGGGGTACATTTTGGGAGTTGGCAAAGTAGGAAGGTCTCTTGAAGATTCAATTGACAATGTTTATCATTTGGATGGGTTGAAGTACAGTTTGTTGAGTGTGTCACAAATCTTTGACAAAGGAAATGAGGTCAAATTTACTTCTGAGAAATGCACTGTGGTGAGTCTAACTACAAATAAGGTAATTCTCACTGCACACAGAAGTAAAAATATGTATGTGGCAAACTTAGAAATGTCTCATGGAGATGACTTAACATGTCTTAGAGCTCAGAATGAGAATGCTGATCTCTGGCATAGTAGGCTAGGGCATGTAAGATCTTCTTTATTGAACAAACTAATTTCTAAGGACCTGGTCTGAGGTCTGCCCAAACTGAAGTTTGCTGAAAATAAAATCTGTGAAGCTTGTGTTAAAGAAAAAACAAATCAGATCATTCTTTAAGCCCAAAAATCAAGTAACATCATCAAGAACATTGGAGCTGCTTCATATGGACTTGTGTGGACCTTTAAAAGTTCAAAGCAGAAATGGCAAGAAGTACATTTTGGTGATTGTTGACGATTACTCAAGATACACCTGGACGAGATTCCTGAGATCAAAGGCAGACACAACTGAGGAGTTGGTGGTATTCTTCAAAATGATTCAAACCAAATTGAATCAAGTTATTTGCAGCATTCGATCTGATCATGGCACAGAATTTGAGAACTCAACACTGGATAGATTCTGCATGGAGAATGGTACGAGCCATAATTTCTCTGCTCCAAGAACTCCTCAACAAAATGAGGTAGTGGAAAGAAAGAATAGAACCTTGGTGAACATTGCAAGAACTATGATTATTGAATCAAATATTCCTCAAAATTTCTGGGCTGAAGCTGTTAACACAGCATGTCATGTTACCAACAGGTGTCTAATAAGAGCTATTTTGAACAAGACTCCATATGAGCTGCTCAACAACAGAAAGCCAATGCTGAGCTATCTTAGAGCATTTAGATGCAGATGTTTTGTGCTGAATAATGGAAAGAATGATCTGGGAAAATTTGATCCCAGAAGTGATGAAGGAGTGTTTGTTGGATATTCTTCATCCAGCAAGGCTTACAGAATATTCAACAAACGAACTCAATGCATTGAAGAAAGCATTCATGTTGTAATTGATGAAGATGGAAGCCTGAAGAATGATGGATCAAATGATGATGATGATGTGATGAAAATGCTCAAATCAAAGAAGTCTGAAGGAGGTGACGCTGATGCAGATCAAAAACTGAACAATGACTGTGATGATCAGAATCATAGTCTATCTAAAGAGGCTGCTGATGTTGAAAAGGATAATATGGTACCTGGTACTACTCAAAATTCCAGCCAGAATACATTAGACTCCCCAGAAAATAATGTCACTCTTGATGAAGAAGAGCATGCAGATCATCTAAATCAATCTGCTCAAAGGTCAGGATGGAAGCATATCTCATCACATCCTCTTGATAATCTCATTTCTCCTTTGAGTTCTGGAATTCATACTAGATAAAAAACAAGAAATCTAGTCGCATTCATATCATCTATTGAGCCCAAGAATGTTAAAGAAGCATTGGGTGATGCAGACTGGATAAATTCTATGCAAGAAGAACTCCATTAGTTTGGAAGAAGTAAGGTATGGTACCTGGTTCCTTGACCTGAAGGCAGAATAGTAATTGGAACTAGGTGGGTTTTCAGAAACAAGCTTGATGAAAATAGAGTGATTACTAGAAATAAACCCAGGTTGGTGGTGAAAAGATACAATCAAGAAGAAGGAATAGACTATGATGAGACCTTTGCACCTATTGCCAGAATGGAAGCTATTAGAATTCTAATAGCTTTTGCTGCATTCATGGGGTTCAAGCTGTACCAAATAGATGTGAAGAGTGCTTTTCTGAATGGAGATCTCAAAGAGGAGGTGTTTGTCA